GCGTGATTTTACGTTGCGGGGTCCGAGATGCGAACCGCGGTCGACTACGTGGGAGTCCAGTGACATAGCCATTATGCTAACTGCTGGTCCCAGTGGAAATATTTTTTATTGACCCTTTCCAAAGTATTCTTTATGTTGTAGCTGGAAACAGAATATATTTAAACATATGCTTATTGAAAAAGCACCCTTTGCTTATTTCTAAATCTCTGAATTAAAAATACTGACTTTTAGAACCAGCAGTTAGCGTAATGGCTATGTCGCTGGACTCCCATGTAGTTGACCACAGTTCGAGTCCCGGACCCGGTGGCTTAAATTCACGCTGGGCGCGTGTGCGTGCGTGTCCAAGATCTCGAGAGGAGAATGGAGGAGAAGGGATTGAGGCATGGCTATTCCCCCTGGGGGGGGGGGGTAATTTCTTGCTTTCTGTCTCTCTCTGTCTTTCTGGCGAGCCCATGTGCCCTGTGGCAACAATCTCTCTGAAAAAAAAACAATACTGACTTTCATATTTAAATAAAAATAATAAAATATTCAACTTATACATAATGTTCAGAGATAAATATTTAAGCATTTTATTTTTTAAAAGTTTTAATTAAACCTTTTTTTTTTTTTTAAAGGATTTTTGCCTTAGAGTGTGTGAGCTTGCTGGAGAGTGACAGTAAGAAGGAAAGTGAGAAATCACCACAATCTCTTCTTCTCCATTCTCCTTCTGGGAATTTGGGCATGCACACATATGTGCCGGGTGTGACTCTCAAGCCGCCAGATCTGGGACTTGAACTGCAGTCAGCCAGCTGCCCTAACAACCATGCCACCTGTTGGCCCTAATATTTAACCATTTTAAAAGCTCTTTTCCCCAAAGAAAGCTCACTTAATCAGTCCATATTTAGTGATATCAGTGATACCTCCCCCAACACACACACACTATTGCTGTGTTAATTAATAGGACAGTGGGAGTACAGCAAAACTCACACTCTGTGGAGCTCACATTTTATTGGGAGGAGATGGACAAGCAGATCAGTAAGTGCAATGTCTGTCAGCAAGTGCACAGTGCCCTGGAGAAAAGTAATGCAGGGGAGAATGGGAGTGCTGGGACAAGGGTGGGAAGAGAGAGGAATGGCTACAACTTGGAGTAGGTGAGCCAGGGAGGGCATTATAGCAGGAGGCGGGGAAACCAGCCATTTGGATATCTGAGGGGTGAGGATTCCAGGCCAAGACTATACCAAGAGCAGAGTCCCTGAAGTGAGAGACTGCCTGGACTGTGAGGAAAAGTAAAGCAATCTGTGTGGCTGGAGGAAAGTAAAGCAAAGCGAAGGGGAGAGGGGAGGAGAGAAGGTCAGGAGGCACCAGAGCAGCCAGGAAGAGCCTCCCAAGTCCTTGCAAGGACTTGGGCTTTTTCCCCAGGTGCCGTGGGAAGGTAGTGGAGAGTTTTCAGTAGAAAAATGTCATGATCTCACTTTTGTGTTAGCAGGATCCCTCTTGCTGATATGGAGAATAGCTAGTTGGTAAGAGTATTGCAGGAGAGATAGGCAAGAAATGATGGAGCTTGAACCAGAGTGGTAGCAGTAGAAATATTAGGGAATCATTGGAGCCAACTCCATGGCATGTTGGCTATGCACTGCTCAGAGGAGGCTGGACCCTACATGGTGACTGTAGTTCGAATCTCCCACCCAGTCAGTCTGAAACTTGCCGTGCTCATGTGTGAGTGCCTGGGATCCTGATGGGCTGGAGGACAGGAGGACAGGCAAGACCAGACATGTGGGGGGTGTTCCTCTCTCTCTCTCTTTATATTTCTTTCCCTCTTATGGAGCACATGTGCTCTATCATGAATTTAAAAAAAAGAAATTATTAGATTCTGTATATATTTTGAAGGTCAGCATTCACAGAGTCTGTTGATGATTTGGACATAGAGTGTAATATTATGGGAGAGAAGTCAAAGGTGCTCTAAGGACTTAGGGACGCACATTTAGAAGGACAGAATTGTCATTTTTAGGGACAAAGAAGATGATAGGAAGAACAGTTTAGGATGGGATGAGATTAGAATATGCTGACTTTGAAGTGGCCTTTAGAAAACAAACAAACAAAAAACCTACAGAACTCCCTAGTAAGTGAAAAGACCTAGGATATAACCTAGTTAAGTCTCAGGTGTGTTATTAGTGAGCTGCAGGACCATAACTGTTCATGAGTAATTACTTTATTCCTGTGGCCTTCAACTTCTTCCTCTGTAAATAATTAGACCGAATTTATTAAAATCCCTTCTAATTCTGGTTTATTTTGGTCCTTCAGTGGTTTTCAAAGATAATGCCTTTTCAGATTACAACTCAACTGCACTGTATACGATGAAATTTGTTGGGATGATGATACTGATATTAGCATATAGTTAATGTTTATTGTGAAGTTTGGTGCTTGAATCTTCATTTTAAAATGTGTGTGTGTGTGTGTGTGTGTGTGTGTGTTGGGGAGGGGGGTGGAGAGATCTTGATTGTTTGAGACTTTCACACCTTTAAATAGCAGAGGATGTCATTTTCCCCCAAGGAATTCAACATGCTTTATAGGTATTGTAATAAAATTACATTTTAGTCTAACAAACTTTTTTAGAAGTGTCTGGTACCTGGTAGGTACTAATTACATGTTTGTAGAAAGAATAGATCAACTAGTAGGCTAAAATGCTATAATTAATTTTACATAAGGTATCTTTGAGGGCATGTGTTACTTGTGATTTAATGCCTTCTTTAAAACTCCTGCCATCTCATTTGTTTATACAATCTCTCTTAAATGAGTGGCGTGGGAAAAAGCTAATCAATTTGCGTAAGTCATCACCGACTTGGTAAAAGCAAATCTGCTCTAGCGCTGTGTTTCTCAAACGCATTGCCAGGAGTCTGTGTTCTACTGTTCTGAAGAGCAGTTCAGCAGCCATCTGTTATGTCTGGGTATGTTGGTGTTCATATCTGGAGCTGAGATACCTGCAGAGTTTTACGGAGTGGTGTGGGCACACTGAACAGCAGCTATTGCTGTCTAAAATAGTTTATGCGTTAAGTAGCCAGAATGCCTTAGACAATCTCTTTGTATAGTTTGTTGTTTGCTTCTCCAAAGTAGAGGTTGATCAGCCATAGAGATCTTTTGAAGTTAATGTTGGGCAAAGATGATGAACTTCATTTCATTTTATATTTCCAACCCAGCTCCAGATATGCTTCTGAGCACCTCAGCAGTGAAAACAACCTTGTGTTTCACCCACTGTCTCCGCTTAGTTGAACACGTGCCCAGTTCACTTGCATAGGCAGGGACATAGACCGGAAGATGTATTTGTTTTAAACTATGCCGACCAATTTTTATTTTAAATATTTAAACTATACAGAAAAGGTGGAAGAATAGCATAATGCCACTCAGACAGTCTTTGAGAGCGATTCACCTTTTTTGTTGCTGCAGTTACTCATTTGCCTTTTCTTTTTCTCGCTTCCCACCCTATCTCTCTTTCATCATCATAAGGTTTTAATGGGGCCATATTCGCTGGTAGCAACTTACCACCTATCAAAGAGCAGATTGTGTGCTTCTTACCCCTGGTGGTCCACTGCACTGGGCACCTTACACTATGCCAGGTCAGAATAGCATTGCAAGAATAGCCAAACCGACCATGTATCATTGCCAATCTGATAAAAAATTTAAAAATAAATAAATAAATAAATAAAGTTTGCTTTGCAAGACAGGTCTATCTTAATTTCCTTTTTTGACTTGTGACTCATGATCAACAACTTTTGACTCATGGGCAACAAAATCAACCACCCAGAGAAGTAAGTGGTTCATACCAGGATGCAGTACCTAATTAGTAGAAAATAGGCTTCAGTTCAAAATTAAAAACTTAAGTTCAGTAATCATACAATTCATAGTTGTGTTCTTTTCTCAGGGGTCAGACATCAGAAGTTCTTTGGCTGTTTACATCCTGTTCTTGGGTTTCCATTTCACGCAGTTATCTAGATTTGAATTTGATGCCAATTGCAGACACTATCCCTCTTGAGAGCTAAAAAACACACAGTTTATTATTTGGTTCAAAGCTGCTGCAGTTTTTCTGAGGGATTTATTGTGCAGATCTTGTCAAAGCAATACTGTTTACCCACCATTTGTATACAGGAGTACAACAGCATACTGTGGTCAGGACTACAGGACAAACATTGTATCAAGTTAGGTAAGCCCAGTGATGTAAATATGGGATAATTTACACAACTTCCAGAAAAACAAGATTTATTAATCCACTAGTATTTAAAGGCTTCGTTTTTAAATAATTACCATTTCACCTTGCAGATTTCAAAGGATTTTTGATCAGGATACAAATCAAGAGGCCATTTTTGAACACATTGCCAAACCAGTTGCTGAGAGGTAGGATTTTCCCCTATTTTGCTCAGTGGGTTACTGGTTTTTCATCCTGTCTTCAATTTTCAAATAATTGTGGTGATGCACTTCAGTATCAATTATGCACTCAGGCTACATGGCATGTCATGAGGATAGCATTAATAATTTCTTTTCATACAGACATTTATATTTGGATTTTGAATCTCAAGACAAACCTGTGAGATATGACAGAATAGCAATTATTGCTCCCATTTAAAAAGAAACAGATACTGAGGGTCGTAGAAAATACGTGTCACTGCTCAAGGTTGTGTGGCTAGTGGTAGCAGAGTCATAGAAGGTTTTCTGGTTAAGTCCAGTGCTCTTTCCTCGGTATACAATTTTCACCTGGGGTTAGATGGAGTAAGGATAAAGTATGGAAGGCCTAATGACGGATGGCCCTGCCCAGCCTCAACATCATGTCAGTGTTTTGTCCTTAGTTTCTAGGTCTGTTTACATCATCGTATCCAGATAGTTCCAGGCGGCTGCTTCTGGAACCAAGCTTACATCAGAATACTGGACAAATCGGCATCATAGTTTACAAACATACATGGACAAAGTCTCTTTGGGAGTAGACAGGCCTTTTGATAAGCACACTGTCCTCTTATAAGAAATCTATATAAGAAATTACTACTAATAAGTTGGCTTTCTGAACCTAAAGTCATTTGGGTGATTTTAATGACCTGACAATTCCCAGATATGTGCTTCTTTCAATTAAAATGAAAAATACATCTGCTAAATGCACCTAATTTTCAAATCCACTAATTAGTATACCCTGTCTAATGGACATTGCGGGAAACACATTGCCACACTCTGTCTCTCAAACTCCTGTTCTATGAATTTTATTCAAACTGATCCCTTGTCTTCCGAAAAAATAGTCCTTTGCTGGGTGAAATACAAACAAGTAGGCTTAAACTATGTTATTTGTAATCACAGTTCAATAACACCTCTTTAGATTAAAGTGAGGCCTCCTCGATTAGATGTCAGACGTTTCTAATTTCCCTTCCTTCCTTTTGGTAATCATTTCAGTTACATTATTTTTCAGATAGTTATTCTCATGTGTTTTATTTGGAAACTTCCTAAAATAATTCAGGAGAGAACCTTGGCTTCTGTTTCAGGCACACTGGGTTTTCCTTCCAGTGTGGTCTCTCCCATCTCTAACCCACTGCCAGCTACTGCTCCTTTCCTCAACTTTCCTTTATAGAAAATTGATTTGAAATGGTTGACTCTATTCACTACAGCAGTTTCCCTCTCTTGTCAGGTTTGGTTCCCCACTGATCCAGTGGGATTATTGTTGTCAAAGTTAGCTGTGGCTTCTGTTTGCTAAACTTAATAACAGTCCTATCTCTGTCCTCATGTATTTTGATACTGGTCATTTTGACCCAGTGGGCTACTCCATCCCCCTGAGAATGGGTTCTTCACTTGTCACATTGTCCTGGTTTTTCATACCTCACTTCTTCTCAGTTAATTTACTTAACCTTAATTGTATGCAATAACCATTCACTCTTGCTATTCCCTCTGCCTGGATTTCCTTTCCTCAGAAATCTGCATGGTTGCACCCTCAACAGCTTGAAGACATGGCTCATATGCCACTTCCTCAATAAGGCTTTTCTTCACTACCCAATTTAAAATTGCACCTGTTACTCCTCCCCATTTTGCCTTATTTCTTTTAGAACTTTTCACCATCAGACATATGAAGGGGGTTTTTAAAAAAGTTCATGCACATTAAAAAAACTGCATGGATTTCAAAATATTTTTGCGCCAAAATAAACTCCTACTTTAATTCTATTTTGCCATGAAATTTATTATTTTTATTTTTCTTGCATGTTCCTAAGATAGAAAAAGGAAGATACATATAGGAAAAAACAAACAAACAAACAAACACACCCTCTTATTGGGGTATGTCACAACACAATTCTATTTCCTTTCCTTTCTTTTTCCCACCTGTCAAGATTTGGGGCTTACACACACACACACACACACACACATGCCTTCCATGTTTTTTGAGTTGCTGTGGTTGGTATTTGAACTCGGTTGATCACATAGGATCCAGTTTTCATGCACAATACTTAACCTGTGCTATAGGACCAGTCCTTCATGAACTTTTTTTTTTTAATTTTTTTTTATTTATTAATTCACTTTACACCATCACAACACACAAATTAATTTTCCATCCAAAATACACTGTGCATTGTCTCAATCAAGTACATCCACATACATGTTCTCAGCAAATAATTTTCCAATTCTTACGTCCTGCATACCTTGCCCTTTGTCTTGCCATCCCTGATTCCCCATCCCCCACCCTCTGCTAGGTCCCACCTTCCCCCCCCTTTTTCCCTGGCATCCATGGTTGCCCCTCATACCTTCCTCCCCCCCCCTTCCATCTTTCTGC